TGTCAGCCATGTCAGCCATGAATAAACCAAATAAAGCAGAACTGGCCCAAATCTGGGCCACATTGATTTGACAGATCCGGCAGATCCAACACCTTGCTCCGCCCCACATACTGTGAAGAATGATGTCACTTGGGTGGTCCGCTCCTGTTTGCCAGATTTGGGCTACAAGCAAGCCATAGGAAGGCCCAGTGTCAGCCATGTATAAACCAAATAATGCAGAACTGGCCCAAATCTGGACCACATTGATTTTAATTCTGGCCCAGATCCAACACCTTAATCCGGCCCACATACTGTGAAGAATGATGGCACTTGGGCGGTACGCTCCTGTTTGCCAAATTTGGGTCACAAGCAAGCCATAGGTAGGCCGCATGTCAGCCATGAATATAAATAAATAAAATAAATCAAAATTGGCCCAAATCTGGGCCACATTTATTTGAATTCTGGCCCAGATCCAACACCTTGCTCCGGCCCACATACTGCATGGAATAATGGCATTTTGGCAGTCCCAAATTTTGCCTGTTTGCCAGATTTGGGCCTCAAGTATGCCTTAACATTGCAGCATCCATGACAATAAATAAATAAAATAAAGTAGAACTGGCCCAAATCTGGGCCACATTTATTTAAATTCTGGCCCAGATCCAACACCTTGCTCCGGCCCAAATACTGTGTGGAATAATGACATTTGGGCAGTCCAATTCTGTTTTCCAGATTTGGGCCTCAAGTAAGCCTTAGTATTGCTGCATGTAAGCCAACCAAATAAACCAAAACTGGCCCTAATGTGGACCACAGTTGATTTTTATTCTAACCCTGGTCTTCCCCACATTCCTCATGTGGCCCACATGCTGCATGAAATGGTGGCATTTTGGCAGTGGTCCACAAGCAGGGCACGACACAGCCACATTTTAGCTAATAATGAACAAAATAAACCATAAATATACATTATCTGGGCCACACTAAGCCTTAAGTGAGTTATGCATCAACAATACTCAACATTGTAAAGAGTAATTTAAAAATGTCCTCCATAAATGTTCAAATAAGTTCCAGAAATGTGCCCTACTTGATAAAATCATCCTGACCCAAGTTTTGCACAAGCAGCAATGAAAATGTCACATAAATATTCAAAGACACATTCCAATACTTTAAAAACTATTCTTCTCAAGTTTGAACTTAAATGCTTCTTCTCACTCAGGTAGACCTACACAGTAAGTCTGTGAGTGTCATAGCTACGCTGTGTTAAAGAGCGCACGACGAAGATGAAAGGTTATATATCATAAGTCTTTAATTCAACAAGAGTGAATCCAGCAAGAGTAAATCCAAACACAATGTAGCACAGCAACATTTAAGACATGAGACCAGAAAAACTCAAAGTGAACATACAGGAACTTAAGTACGCAGACCAAACAAGGATACTTAACTAGGCACACCTGAACGGAATAATACAATCAACACAACAAGGGAAACAGTGCAAAAGGAAAACAAAGTCCAAATTAACAGAAACCGTGACAATAATGCCTTGTCCAAATACCCACACTTGCGGTCTTGGCCTCTTGAGAGCACGTGCGCGCGACAGGAAGTAAGTGCGCAAGACTGTCCCAGGTCTTAAAAACGGCAAAGCGCAGTGCCCTTAACGCACACTAAATCGTCATGTTCTGGAAATAAATCGTGACACTTTTTGCAGAGATATCGCGAGAGGTCACGGAAACCTTTCCAATGTACATTGAATATTAATATAATAATTAGATATTACATATAATTTGATAGAAGAATAATACAATCAACACAACAAGGGAAACAGTGCAAAAGGAAAACAAAGTCCAAATTAACAGAAACCGTGACAATAATGCCTTGTCCAAATACCCACACTTGCGGTCTTGGTCTAGGAAGTAAGTGCGCAAGACTGTCCCAGGTCTTAAAAACGGCAAAGCGCAGTGCCCTTAACGCACACTAAATCGTCATGTTCTGGAAATAAATCGTGACACTTTTTGCAGAGATATCGCGAGAGGTCACGGAAACCTTTCCAATGTACATTGAATATTAATATAATAATTAGATATTACATATAATTTGATAGAAAAAGTGTTTTTACGTATTATTGGTGCAAAGATGAGTAGTGGTGATATTTATTTTGTACAACATTTGCAACTGCTTTTATCACTTAATTAGAAGCACCACAAATTAAAATTATGTCATGTTATAGGGACTACTGAACAGACATTTAGAAGTTGATTTTAAAATGCTAAATATTTAAAATTAAAATAAAGCTATGTAAACACTTGTACTTTTACAACACTATAAGTGTGTCCCATCGGGTAATGAAAAGTTCGACACACACTTGTGGTCTTCATCCTCACTTGAACACTTGGGCCAAATACAGGAAATACGTCATATAAGCAGGGCTTAAAGTTCTCCGGCACCGTGCCGGTGTTCCGGTGAATTCAGTTTCCCTGTTTCCCCCTCACAGCGCCTGCGCAACTTCGCAGTGTTGCCAAGTCCGCGGTTTTCCCGCGGTAGTCCACCGATCAAAACGATCCTTACTGAACAGACTCAAGAAGCTCAAGCTGCGCTTGTACTGTGCATTGCAGTGGAACATTCAAGATGGCTGACGAAGACAACGCTCGTCGAGTAAGTAGTAGAGTAAATTTATTATTACATACAACAGGGATCATTTTACTTGGTCAGGATGTAAGTGCCAAGTTTTAAAATCTTCTACGCCCAACATGACAAATGGAATCCCGTTACAATAGAATATGTCTGGAATCTTCAAAGCGTGGAAGTTGTTTGCTGCTGTATGAGTGCATCGTGCAACTCCAGCATGCAGATGTAACATCATATCTGCACGGGGCACGAGTGGCCTTTGTCGCGTCGCATCGGGCCGCTCGTGTCCGGCAGGCCTGCGTTTGACATCGGGGAAACCCGGACAATTCCCCGTGGCCTGGCTACAGATTTGGCCTGCTTGCAGCCAGTAACTTTATCGGTTTTATGTACAAAAGTGATCATTTTCAGTTTCTGCATTCGATAGAAAAATCTGTTTCACACTCCACGAGTGTGTGATGAAAAATATAAGCTGTTGCGCTTTATTTGCTCTGAAGGCTCTGAAATCATATAACGGTATTTGCTCTGAAATTATTCAGTGCAGGAGAGATTAACAGCATATGTACTTTAAAAGCATAACGAAGTGTAAATTTATTTGTTTTTCAGAAGGTTATGAAACAAATGAGGATTCAGTCAATGCAGCATAAACGATTTAAAGAACGATGCAATTGTTTCCCCTCACACATACAGATAAGCATACAGCTCGTAGTAAGGAAACTGTGCTGGCTAATGTAGAGGGCCTCATGGACATCCGTTCAAAAGTTTGGGATCAGTAAGACTTGTAATGTTTTTTAAAGAAGTCTCTTCTGCTCATCAAGGCTGCATTTATTTGATCAAAAATACAGAAAAAAACAGTTATCATGCAATATGTTATTACAACATAAAATAATGGTTTCTATTTTAATATACTTTAAAATATAATTTATTTCTGTGATGCAAAGCTGTATTTTCAGCATCATTACTCCAGTATAAAGTGTCACATGATCTTCAGAAATCATTCTAATATGCTGATTTATTATTATAATTATCAACAGTTGTGCTGCCAAATATTTTTGGGGGAAACTGCGATTACTTTTTTCAGGATTCTTTGATGAATAAAAAGTTTAAAAAGAACAACATTTATTCAAAATATAAATCTTTTCTAACAATATAAATCTTTGCTATCACTTCTTATCAATTTAACTCATCCTTGCTGAATAAAAGGTTTAATTTATTTTAAAAAATAAATAAAAGAAAGAATAAAAAATTCTGACCGCACACTTTTTATTCATCAAAGAATCTTGAAAAAAGTATCACAGGTTCCAAAAAAATATTAAGCAGCACAACAGTCTCCAGCACTAATAATAAATCAGCATATTAGAATGATTTCTGAAGATCATGTGACACAAGACTGGAGTAATGGCTGATGGTAATTCAGCTGTGCATAACAGAAATAAATTATATTTTAAAGGATATTAAAATAGAAACCATTATTTTACATTGTAATAATATTTTGCAAGATTACTGTTTTTTTTCTGTATTTTTGATCCAATAAATGCAGCCTTGATGAGCAGAAGAGACTTCTTTAAAAACATTACAAGTCTTACTCATCCTAAACTTTTGAACGGTAGTGTATAATGATAATAAAATGAGCTTTTGATAGGCATTGTCATCGGAGGTGGAATCTGCTGCGAGAGCTCTCGTAGAAGTTTTAGCCAGGGACCTGTCTCCAAGTTCGTCGAGAGCAGAGAACAGCACAACAGTATCCATCCCTTCAGTTAGGGCAAGAGTCAGTGCCCCTTCTCCTTTGCTTCCACCCCCATCAGATTCACAGGCTAGGGTGAGGCAGGCACTAAGAAGGTAATCAAATCCCTGATTTTAAAATGTTACCCTAACTGTATTGAAAGATGTGTCATTGAAAAATTGTATAATGAGGTCTTTGTTTCTTTTTGTCTTTCGTAAGTCTAAAATTGAACTCTTCTTTGATGTGTGGTGAAATAGGCAGTTCCCTGGTATGTTCAAGTCTCAAAATGATCAGCCAAGGGGGAAAAGACGTTTCATGTCAACACCCACAACCTGTGTGAAAAGAACAGATTTTCAGATGTATGTCCTACCTAAACAATCCCTTGTCACTCCAAAAGGCTCAGAAGACCTAGAGTTTGCACATGCAGGCCTGGGTAAAAGACTTCTGAGTCTTCCAGACAACTTTCAACACGGTGAGGTAATAACATACAAAACTGTTTTGTGAGTTGAAATGTGCAGGGTTTTTTTTTTTTTTTACCAAAAGGTGTTTGCAAAAAGGAATTTTTTTTTAATTCAAAAAAGCATACTGTAGCATGTTGTAGACTTAGGGGTGCTGTTTGTTTTGTGTATTGTTTTTAGATTGTTTCTCAGCTTGAGGAGGAATTTCCAAAATTGAAAAGTCTACAAGGAGGTTGGATGTTTTACAAATCAACAGGTATTGGTTACATTATTGATTTTAACTGTTGTTGTATGCTTTAATATAATTGTTACCACAAATATAATTAGGTATTGTAGATCTTAGAAATTATATACGTGAAAGCTAATGTCCTTTTATTTATTTATTTTTTAAAGGTGGTGGTGGGCAGCGTAAGCTGTCAGTTATTCCCACCGACACCGAAGGATATTCCACCCGTCTCCTGAAATCAGCTTCTAATAGTGGGAAGAACACCCTGTATGTAATTCCTTTACAGGAGGAGCTGTCAACTGAAACACTGCCATATGATTCAGCTGAATTCTCAAAGATGCCTCAAGCAAACTGCATGAAGTGTGCCAAAAAAATACCACTGCAGTTGTTGCCACTTCATGTTGAAGACTGTGAAGAAACTTCTACAGTAAGTCTTTTAATGTAGAGCTGTTCCACCTCTTAGTCTATGTGTACAACTGAATGTTTCCACATAGCATATTTGCTAGGAATTGTCAGGAAATACTAAACTCAGTGCTATTTATATAACATTTTAAAAATATTTTCATTGTTACAAAGCAGCTGTACAGGAAACATATTAACTATAAGCAATATAATAAATATATGAAACAAAGTAAAGTATGAAAATCAGAATGAGTAAAATGAATATTATGAATATTATGTCCTGATAAAATATACAGTATTATAACTCCAAATTATTTTTTTAGTTCACTGACTCTCAACTGTTCTTATTTATAGTGTATACGGTGGCTCTATTTAAAAAATTTTTTTACAGGAGACTGAAACTGATGTTACTATAATTGAGGAGAAGGATTGTGCTGAATTTGACCAGCCAATTGAGCAGTCCAGAGGGAGTGAAGAGAAATCACAGGTAACACAAGATAAATGAATCCGTTTTTTTAAATTGCATTAGCTGACCAAAATGATATTTTTCCAGAGAATAATGTTTTATGGGACAAAAGTATTAATATACTACATCCAATATTGACTCTTGTTATGTATGCAGATTTGTCCCATCTGTCAGATTTCGTTTCCATCTGATGTCCTTCCATATCATGCCAGTATGTGCGGAGAAAAGTAAGCAGTGCACACATGGTTATACTATGTGTATTAATTATTTTTAAATATTTGAATGCGTTCATATTACAGATATATGTGAACTCAACAGTATAGGCCTAATGCATTGACAGGTTTAATGTAATTGCATGACTTTGCATCCAGTTTTTGTGTTATATATAATGTTGAAGGCTAATGCAACATAGCCACAAATGCTTTGTTAAAACAGAGAGATGCAGTATTCAACATTTACTTGGTTTTGTTATTGAAAGCATTCTGAATAGTAGTGGAATGTCCATTTTCAGAGAGGCTACATTTGATGACACTTTCACAACAGAGGAACAGCCAGGACCCTCACGGACACAATCAGTAACAGCACCTAGAACAGGTACGTTATGCACTTGTACTAAAAACATTTTGAAATATAACTTTGCATAACATTGTTCTTTCAGTGTGACTGTACTTTGCACTTTTCGAAACCATTACAATAAAACAATTTTTATTAGATAGACTTTATCTTACTTGCCTCTTATCAATAATTACTTGGTTGCAAACTATCAGGAGGTGCAGATAGCTGAGGAGTAAGCAGGGACTCTTTGTATTTGATTGCTTTCTGAATAGAATGTACAATAATGTAAAAAAAAAAAATTCACAAAACTTTATACCTCTCCCTCATTTCTTTTCAAGTGTAATATGTGATATGTGACCACTTGTTTGTTCATTTTTAAGGATGGGAAAATGAAATGGATCCCCAGAAGGCTTGCAGCTTGTTCCGGGAGAAATTACTTAATTCAAACAGTGAACAGCCAAGTCTGACACTCATTATTAATCAGTTTGATCCTGTGGATGAGCAGGATAGCACACTTGTTTCATTTTACAAAATTAACAATGTTTCATGGGCAGCTCCACTGAAGTGCAGATTAAGAGGTAGTGTATTACTTAATTTTTTTTTAAAGCTATATTTATACTGATTTTTTTTTTACCTTGAAGCAGTCTACATTTTCTTTACGAACTATAAATGTTGTTGTATTTTTCCTTCATATGTCATGGAACAGTTGTTTACCAGCCATTATTCTAATATACTTGTATGATTCAAAGGGGATGCAGCTGTGGGTACTGGAGTGAACCGCCATGTTTTATCTATGGTTATGCAGAAACTGAAGACTGGGTTCATGTTGAACTTAGGTTTGTGAGGTTTTGGTGTTCAAAATACTGTGTATTTAAACAATTACTACTTCGGTTTACAGATACATTTAAAAAGGTTAATTAATAATGTTTTTAAGGCTCATCTGCTGCAATTATTTTTTTAGTTCACTGACTCTCAACTGTTCTTATTTATAGTGTATACGGTGGCTCTATTTAAAAATTTTTTTTACAGGAGACTGAAACTGATGTTACTATAATTGAGGAGAAGGATTGTGCTGAATTTGACCAGCCAATTGAGCAGTCCAGAGGGAGTGAAGAGAAATCACAGGTAACACAAGATAAATGAATCCGTTTTTTTAAATTGCATTAGCTGACCAAAATGATATTGTTTTTAAGGCTCATCTGCTGCAACGCTTTTCGAAGGGGAGAAAGACCATCGTGTCCCCTCAGCTTCTGTAGTACTCCGTGACAGCAGTCTTTTTCAGATGGCAGGCCGAATGATCGGCCATTCTTTTCTTTATGGAGGTCCCTGCCTTTCTGGATTGAGTGTACCTGTTGTTATCCTTTTAACTGGTGGATCTATTGACAGTGCAGCATCAGCTTTAACTTTGCAGGACTGTCCTGACATGGACCACAGAGAATCTATTAGTTTGGTAAGTAAACTGTTGTGAAAACTTCAAATGCATACTGTGTAGGTGTCTCATTGGACTGTATGTCATGTATGACAGTCATACATTGAGACTGTCCTGTTGATACTTTTGATTTTAAACTTTTGATAATTTTGTTTATCAGGATAAACTGTTTTTTAAGGAGTCCAGACTCTAGATAAAACAAAATCCTGCTGACATGTTGTCTTACTGTAGTATTATGTTGTTGTTTTTTTCCGTGCAGCTCAATAAAGCGGAACTTGATGAAGCAGAACGCACTCGACTAATTGACTTGTGTTTGTTCTGGGACCTTCCAGTTCCATCTCCTACAAATCAGGAGTGGCTGTTCCAGCAACTGCTGACACATGCTGTAAGCACAATTTTTTAGCTTGATAATGAAGTCATTTTTTAAAAGCCTTAGTTCAATGATTGATCTGATGTGAAATATGCATGGTCATAGTGAATTATATGCATGATCATAGTTAAATATGCATGTCTGCACTTCACCAATTACGTTTCAACTTTAAAATTATTTTTGTCTATATCAGGGATCCTCAAATCTGGCTTGCGAGGTCTACTTTCCTGCAGAGTTTAGCTCTAACCCTAATCAAACACACCTGAGCATGCTAATCAATGTCTTCAGGATCATTAGAAAATCACAGGTAGGTGAGTTTGATCAGGGTTGAAGCTAAACTCTGCAGCGCATTGGCCCTCCAGTGCAAGATTTGAGGAACCCTGGTCTATATGGTGAATTTAAAAAATATATTCAAGTTAATGTGTAACAGTTTTGTAAAATAATCCTTAAGCATTGTTTCTTTAAATTAGATTATTTTTTGTTCATATTTTCAGGTTCTTGGACGTGTAAAGAAACAAATCAAAGATCTGCGCAGAGGGATGAAGGACACTGGGATATGGCCACTTATTTCCCAAAGACAGGATGTTCACAGGGTCCTTTTTCCAAGGGAATCAACAGAAGTTATTGATTCACAGGTAAATGTAACTACCATTACCTACATAACCTTTTTAAAATTGTGTTATAACAAATTTATGCATTTAGCAGGTGCTTTTATCTGAACCAACTTACAATGCATTCCAGCTATACATTTTATTAGTATGAGTTTTCCTTGGAAATCAAACCCAAAACCTTGGGTCACAATGCTCTACTGAGCCACAGGAACACAGAAGCATAACCATATTTTTATTTTGATCAGATACTCTTGATCTCACATCTTACTACGCTTGTAGACTGTCCTCCAGAAAATTACCTGGCCAAAACTAACAGAAGATGACGACGATGATGAGGGTGACATAACCATAGAGAAGCTGACCCTCATTTCTGGCTATATGCGCACTTTTATTGAGGAAGGTAAGAGCTTTTTCATGAGTATTGAGGATACATGTTTTCTGCAACTCTGAAACATTTTAAGTTAGGTTCTTTTAAGCACAAACGTACAAGCTTAAATGCATACCAGCATCCAAGCCCAGATAATTATATAACACACTATAGGTACACACAAACAAAATTTGCAGGCTTCTCACTTTTTCTATGCTGACTATTTAGAAATATCTGCAAAAAACAGTGAACTGGATTTAGATAAAATGTTTTTCCTTTGTTCTTCCTCCTAGGTTTGCATATTTGTTAAATGCTGTCCATACAAATAATAAACTGCAAATACAAATGATATTGTGTTCAAAACTATAGTGTGACATACAGTGTCAGCATGATTTTAAGCTGATCAAACTAGAGGGAGGACAGAAACAACATTTTGTACAATTGTTAATGCATCTATATTTATATTGCATCATTTTGCATTCAATTAATTTATTTTATGCTTATTTGTAGCATCACCAGCTATACTGAGCGACCTGACAAGGTTCTGGGTGGGGTGGGAGATACCAGAAGAAAACCTTGTCCTAGAAGTTGTGACTGCTGAATACCCAGTGGCACATACGTGTTTCAACACACTGTGCCTCCCGTGCCATTACCAGAACTACACGACTTTTAAAAAGGACATGCTTATGTGCCTAAAATCTGTTAGCAGTGGATTTGGCCTTGTTTAATCCTGTGTTTACAATTCTAGTTCCTTTGCAGTAGTCTGCAAGCAATTGTTCTTGGTAAAGTTAATGTAAATCAGGATTCTAACAAAAGATTGAATTACATGTTATACACAGTCTCTTACAAAGTTTATAACTAAGAAACCTGTGTTGATTTAAAGCTGCTAAAGACCAAGTTAGATTTGTTGCAGTAGGCTACTCTATGTAAATTTTCACAAATGACAGATTTTTTATAAGCCATTGTTCTTAAGAAGTTTAATGTATTTCAGGATTGTAAGACAAGATTGAATTACATGTTATACATGTGTTTTAACAAACGTTTATATCTAAGAGAACTAGGATAATCAAGCAAAACTGTAAAAAGAGTTGTTAACATGCAGTTTCTATGGCACAATAAACAATTGTGTGTGCAAAAAGTAGCACTGACTTAAACTTTATTTTTGGTTGTAATATTTTTATACTTGTTAAAAGATAATTCTTGCTAAAATAAATGTTAAAAGTAGATGCATGTTACAAATCATTTTGACCTTAACCATATGTTCCTTACAAAAAGAATTATGAAAATACCGGGGGGAAAAAAAGCATCCTTTCAGCTACACATATAAAATTTCATCTCACTGACTACCTCACTTCAGTTAAGCTCTCCACATACTGAACTGTTGCAAGATATACGTCTACTCCAAAACAATCAGAGTGCTGCAGTGGGTCAATCATTTGTTTAAGTTCCTCTATGTCACGGTCAGTTAATGGAATGTCTAGCTCTGGAACGTTGACTCCCTGGTTTGGCTCTTCACTGTATCCACTGTTTTCCCATTCAATGTCTGGCATGACATCAATCTGAAAAACAAAAATATTTCACAGAAACATAGGTACAACAAATGATCTCATACTAAACTTTACTGCTACAGAGTGGGCTGTCAGCATTGATGTCGCATAAAAGAAAGGTCATTCATTTTATATAGGCCCTATTAACTGCCTGCAAGTGTCATATTAGCAAGAATATATGATAACAGATTACAAGAGGTGTGAGTGCAGTTTGGATATGATTTTAACATGATGGCACCTTAAAGCATAGTGGTTTATTTGGAAGAAAACTTTTAACTGATATGAATATATTTTCAAGACTGATTAAAGTCTAGCAGAGTAGTAAATTATTTAAACCGTGTGAATTGATTGGTTGGCAGGATATAATTTTTCTAAAACTGCATATTTACCTCAGGATCCATTGTTGGGTTTTGGAGCTGACCAACTTGCCACAACTGATTGGGTGTGAGATTTTGTTCAGTCCTCATGGGATGGTTGTCCCACCCATCAGAAAAGTCATCCAGACTTGCCTGGATGCGTGGAAGGAAAACGAAATGGCAGCAGAATAAATGGATGCTGTTGCTGATGTCTAACAGGTGATTCTCTTCCAAGGTGCGCAGGATGTTTTGATAAACACTTGTAACTCCAATGTAGACATCACGCCACAGACGCTCTATTCTGTGTTTTAAAAATAGCATGTAGACAGACTGTCAATATATATATATATATATATTATAACGATGTATGTTACAATGATAAAAGAATAAACAAATGTGAAATGCTATTGTACGTTTTAATGTTTGTCTAAATTCTGTTATTTATAATTTTGTTCTTTTACATTTTAGACCTGCTGCCATCATGACAATGAGGTTAAAACAAAAACAATTGTTAACAACAAAGAGCAACACATAATTCAAATTACCTCTGATTATGTACGCTTTTACCAGCAATGAAGCTATTATAGTCAGTTCCACGAACTGAAAACATTAGCTGGGCCACTCCCACATTTTCCCCTCCATGATCACCTCTCACTCTAAAAAACGAAGTATTAAACATTGAAGCATTACTTAACCACAATTGATTATGAAATAGGAGGTCAGATCTTACATAACATGATCGTGTGACAAAAGGTTTGCTGATTTCTAGGTTTCTATTTAAAACACTTACCTCTGTGGAAAGCCATGTTCATTTACAGCCTCGCTGAAGATTGTCAAATGGGTGTCAGAGCGATTATTGTTCTCTACCTTTAGGTACATTATCTGTACAATAAAACATAATAGGATGTAAATGTAAATTGATCAAATAAATCATTTTTAGGACAAGTAAATTGTGCACACTGCAGTCAAGAAATGTAAGCAAATTCATACCTTTCTTGAATAACCATCTATTCCTCCAAAAATTACAATGTTGTACCTAGGTTACAGGTAAAAACAAAACTTCACTTGAAACAATAAAAATTACTACAAATAAATTGCTAAAGTTGATAGTTTTTTTTGTTGAAAATGCAGTTCATAGTCTCTCCCAGAATGTTGAGTCGGTGTAAATGTGAGCCAGTAGATGAAATCCAGGTTAAGTCTCATAATGTAAATATGAGATAGAGTATCAATGTTTGATTCCAGTCAATTTCACTATTATCACCAAATATCAAGGTTATATTTTCACAGAATATTCTTTACATTATGTAGGAAAATGTTTATAGAAAACAGTAAATCTCCAAAAGCATGGTTCACAGGCAGAGTTACAAATAGCAAAAGTGTGAATGTTGCAGCTGAATATGAAAGATGTTTTACTAACTACACTCTGGTATTACTTGGCAATCATTTCTCAAATATACAAACTACAATTGTGACATTCCACTCAGAATTACCTGATGAGTTTGTGGTTGGTGTCAACATGGACCATATACTTGGGACAAGGAACTCTATATGTTCTTCGAGCAATGCACCTTAGGTTGGTCATTCTTGACAGGACACCAACACTGTCCACACGATGCATAGATGCAACGACTCTGTCCCACTGAAGACGGTGCCCTTTTGCAAGGAGAGCCCCTCGGACCATTCTGTATCCGGCATCTGGCAAAGAATTCTTCACTTCTGTCACGAGAACATCTAGCTCTTCATCGGTAGAAGTGCTGTACAGTGCTGTAACTGACAAATTGTTGTCAGCCATCCTTCTACACAATGTTGCTCGAGACACTCCCAATATATTGGCTACACATTTTAAAGGGAGACCAAGTTCAATAAGGTGGATAAGAGTGTTTGTTGAAATTGTCAATTTTGGACGTCCACGTCCACCACCTCTTTCCACATCCACTGTAACACACACCTCTTCACTATCCATCTGGCGCTGTATGGCAATATTTAGATGTGTAAGCGCTGATATAATATCATCAGAAATGTTTATTATATTAGCCAGGGCGCTGATTATTACAAGCTCCTGCCTGGAAACAAACTGCAGATAATCTGTGTCCAGAGGCTGTCTCTCCAGGACATGTTGCACACGGTCTTGAAGTCGCTGGAGAATGTAACGCTTCAGCAACTCCTAAAAAAATGTTTCACATATCAGATGAATGTGCAAATTAACAAATGAATGTTCTAATACACTGCAGAATGACAAGCAGGTAGAACAGATCGTCATCACTCTGCCTATCGCTTTTGCAACATAAACCACTCAAAGCTAAAAGAAATTATGTCCAAATAGAGATAGAACATACTTTTGAAAAAAGATGTAAAGATTGCATTTTTAATTAAATATATGGTGCATCGGTACTTTTAAAACATAAAAGCAGATAATCCGTAGCATCCCTAGCTGGTCGCGATGGTAACTTTAGAACCCACTGACTACAAAACGTATTTAAAATTACTCGATAGTTTATAATCAAAATCGTTGTTTTATTGATTGTTTATCGCAAATTCTTCATGTGATTCCTACAACACCAGTTATAGTATAAGAAAGTTGACGTGGATTAATAACTTTGTAATACAGCAAACTGCTGACTTCATTAACTAAAACAACCTTTAATCATAAGAAAATACCATCCGATAAAAAAACGACTTACTCGTTGAGTCTGGTTTTCATCCTCCATGCTGCAATCTCTCCGCTGAGTGTTCGAAATCTCCCTTCGGTGGTGGTAACTGTTGATAATGCCTGATCAAAAGTTACTGCTAACCTGATACTACTACTAACAACAGAACACATCACATCACATCACTGTAGTTGTAAAATTTAATATTTGGACATTTAAGTTAACACTTAATAACATTACTGAACTAAATAAGCATGTGCAACTTTGGTGTATAAGACAGCAGGCTAACCGGGTAGCTGTATTTTGTGCGAACGATATAAATCATAATGTGAAATTGTAAACTGGTGTTAAAAATAGAGTACCTATTAAAATGTCTTGCATGATAAAGACCTCATGGAACATTGCACAGTACAAGCGCAGCTTGAGCTTCTTGAGTCTGTTCAGTAAAGAGCGTTTTGATTGGTGGATTAAAAGCTCACCGCGATTGGCTAAACGGAACATCCTCCAAAAAAAGATATTTATGAATCTTAACCTGCCGATGCATTTGTGTGAGCATTTGGGGAAATATTTATGCTTTTACTTGTGTATTTATGAATTGTGTTTTGAATTTACGAATTGGATTTTGTAAATGTGAATTGTGCTGTGCATTTATGAATTTTGTTTTGTAAATGTATTATATCTGAGACTGATCTGGCTCCATAGGGAAACAGGGAAACTGAATTCACCGGAACACCGGATCTCCGGCATGTGGCGTTTAGCTGCGGGAAAATAAGATAGGAAAAGGTCCTGTTCACACATGATCTCTTAACGGCAATTTACCAGTGAAGACTGTATGTGTGAAAGGGGCTAACTCTTCCTCTGCATATGCTGTGAGTTTGGGTTGCTTAACGTTCATCTGGGAAAACTGTTATCTTACTTAATTTGTAACTTAAGTCATTTATAAACCTATGCCAACACAGAATACATCAACATTTCCAAATATGCGATTTATTGTAGATCGCGATTTCAAAATAAAAGTTTCTCACTTTGCATATGGCCAAATATTGCAATTAAATGGATTTAAATGACGTTGAATCACATGAAACATCACCAGGCCGTTGGCACCCTCTGCAGGTATTTGTTATAATATAGGCATATTACATTATGTATTTAACAGTTGTTCAATAAAACCACTTTTTGGTTTTGGTTTTGATACTTTATTTGAGCCAATTATTATTGCCTCATCGTTAGTTTATATATAAATAGTCAAATTAAAGCCTGTTTTTCACTTAGTTCTATTTGTATTACTAAAACATACATATTGTAATTAAAAGACAAATATTTTGTCGTTCAAATATTTCTTAAAGTATTAAAACATTGTCTCGTTCTATTGAACCAAGTATATGCATTTTTTCTCATCTCGTGAGCTAAGTTTATTGTCACACCCCTAGTGTCGATAAGCGGTGATATAGCTCATAATGTTCCAAGTGTATGATACAGCCTAGCTTTCATTCTTCAGGTCAGTCATATACTCGTGAATTATTATTTGCTTAACCACTTTAAAATGGCTTTTTGGTTGCTTTTAGTCAGAAAACGTAAAGAAAACGACACACATACAGCAAGATAATATAATTTCACTTACCTGGCCTATCACTTGAAGCAAACATCCATCCTTTCTTAAAAGTCTGTGTTAAATGCGCCATTTAATTAAGCCGACTGCTGTAGCCTATATCCAGCTAGGCTGTTTTCCCTTTTTTTAAATTTGTATATACACTGTTTGAATGACAGCTTGGTAAATCTGTTGGAGATCAAATATTCAATATTGCTACTCATCATAAGTACTTGTTACATTATCAGCGCAGCTGGAGATGTTCAAACTAATATCACGTAATTTACGTCTCTATGATGATTGGTTGATATCAGAAGGGAGGCTAGCCTCCCATGCGAGGGTGCTTTCACTCGTCAGCGCTGAAAGTGAACACTCAATGGTGATTGGTTAATTTTTTTTACCAACGGAGGCACGAGAGCTCAGCTCTCCCCCGGCCTCCGCCTCCCGTTCTCTATTATTTGCGGTTGTAATTACATCAGCAGATTCGGCACGAACTGAAATGAATTGTGAATTTTATTAACATTACATCGTCCTCCTCTCATTTTCACCTCAAAATTATGGGGAAGCTGTGCCTCCCCTGCCTCCCCCGACGAGCCGCCACTGTTCTTTGCATGTGCTGCACCTTATTTGTACCATTTGTTTTATTAGTTTATATATTAGAATTTGAAAGACAATAGCAATATTTTATGATAAGTGATGTGAGATCTGATTTTAGTCCTTGAAAACCAAAAGAGTAGTGCTTGAAAAGTCCTTGTAAGTCCTGGAATTTAATTTTGCTGTATCTGTACGAAGCCTGTTTAAGTTACCAGTCCTTGGAGCATTTTATTTGGTTTTGAACTGAACTGTAGTTTTCTGTAGTAAACTGTCTTTGTATATTTCCTATTTTATATTCATTTCCTAGTATTTAATTTACTATTATTTCTTTTGAACAAAACAATTTCAGAAATTTCATGTTTTAAATTTTAGGTCATCTTGTACCCTGACCATAATCTGTAGTCTGAGCCTGTCAAGGGCTAATGGCAAGGGCAGATATGTTACTAGTTAGTTTCAAGGAAAATAATTTTCAAATATTATTTTTTTTTTTTTTTGGCCAAATAACCCTGTGTATGTGTCCACCCCCCCAACCCCCGGAAAAAAGTTCAGGATTTTTTTGCTTTACCCCTGTATAAGTTGTCAAGTGGTCAAGTGCAAAGTGTGGGTATTTGGACAAGGCATTCTACTTTTTTTTAAACCAAAAAATCCGTTTTATTCTAGCTTAAAGCATTCTTTTTTTTAATCAACACTTGAATATAGGTAGATTTCATAAAAATGCATAATTTTGAGCAAAAAGGTGAGAAAATGAAATTATCAAAAACTACATCTGGATAATATTCAGTACAATTATCAAAGCATAAATCCAGTAAATCGCCTCCATCAACACCTCCAAAGCTTGCACAGACATATACCACTTCCTGGATCAACATTTTACTCCGTAACATTATGCAGTTTTCATTTATATGCTGCCATTGCTGATGATCGCATTATTTTTCATATGCATCTGTTTACATAAGAGATCGCTCGTTTCTCCGTCCTGTTCACGTGTGTTTTTGTTCGAGAGGTTTTGTACTCGTTCAGAAGATGTGTAATAGCGCCCCGAGTGTATAACAGTGAAATCACGAAAAGCCTTAAAAACACGTCTTTTTTTCTTGAAGCGTTTTCTTGTAAAAGACGAGATAACTCGTCAATGGTGGAGAAAGAGTTAAAAGCATGTTTCAAAAAATTAATTGCTGCATATGTAGCCTTCTTAAGACTTTTAATTATTTGGGCAATATTTGTCATTTTATATGCGGGCCACATTTGCGGCATCATATAAGGGCCACTTTAGGCTAACAGCCACATTAGCCGGTGCTTACCGTGCCATATCTTTGCCAAAACTGGCCCAGATACGTTTGAGGATAACTGGGCCACATTTGTGACATCATATGCGGGCCATTTTAGGCTCACAGCCATATTAGCCGGTGCTTACCGTGCCATATCTTTGCCAAAACTGGCCCAGATACGTTTGAGGATAACTGGGCCACAGTTGTGGCATCATATGCAGGCCACTTTAGGCTCACAGCCATATTAGCCAGTGCTTACCATGCCATATCTTTGCCAAAACTGGCCCAGATACG